ACACACACACTCACACACACTCACACTCACGCACACACTTGCACACTCACACAAACACACTCACACACACACACACTCACACACACTCACACACACATGAACTTCATAAAGCTTATGTGTACTCAGTGCTGGATAGATTACTTACAGATCACATGATGAAAATTGTAGTTAGTAATGTCATCTAGGCTACTTATTTTAGGTAATGCATTCTGATTACTTTTTAGATTACTTTTTTTATTTAACTTGCTTTAAACTTACCATCAAACGTAACACATTGACATAAAAAAAGTAAAGAGAAAGAAAATATATTCAATTTTTTTTATATCAACATCATAAAATGCATTAAACATTACACTAAACTGGGGTTTCCTAAACTGGGTTTGTGAGTTGATAAAAAGTGAATAATTATGAATAATTTACTGCCACTGTGTGACTAATGTGTAATCATGTAACTGTAATCTAATTATGAGCATTTTAAAATGTAATATACTCTAATTACAAGTACATCATTTTTGGAATCTGATTATGTAAGCCAGAGTACATGTGATCAGTAACTACCCACACTGCCTGTCCTCAGCAGATATAACCCGTGCAGGTTATTAAATAATAATAATATAAGGTTAGTTAATCATTCTCACAGCTGGCAGAAATGCTCACTCACGTGCACGTCTACAAACATCTTCGGCAGAAACTCGGCGCATGTTTTCTGCAAGAGTTAAAGTTTCAAGTTTATACAGGACCATAACATAATCATACCCCAGACAGCACACGCACGTCTGCAAGAGGTCTGTTAAAGATCGCTTGATCTGGAAAGCATCTGCTAGACGTCTCTCAGATTTCAGTTTTACATACTTTCTAAATCATAAACATCTTAAAGACATCTAATAGACGTCTATTTGACATCTGATAGGAAACATACAATAGATGTATTGCAGATGAGCAAACACTCTAATAAAGCTGTAACAGGGACAGGTACCCGCATAAACTCTCTTACCGTGCGACTATACCGCTGTATTCTGTCCAGATTGCTGGTGATTTCTCTGCTGAGCTGCAGAGCGCGCGAGTAACAGGTCGGCGGCGCACAGCTCGTGAAGCAGATCAGAGCCAGCAGCAGAACGCAGAAAGCTCCGAGTCTCTGTGCGCTCATGTCTGCTCTGCGCGATGACGACCACCAGCTCTGCCTATAAGCCCGCGGTGACGTCACGCTCAACACAAGCCTGGACGCGTGTCTGCAGTGTATATGAATGTGTATAAAAGCTGTGATTGTAATATTATGTGTGTTATACATTCGGCTATTAAAAATATGATCAGAGAATGTTCCTATTAAGTTAAGAAAACGTTGTTTCTGAATGTTCTCTGAAAACGTTTTCTTGTTTCATTGTATCATTTTGCAACCATTATGGGAACGTTACTTTTGAATGTTCTCTTCTGAACGTTCTAAAACAAGTAACACAATAAAACGTAACATCCACCAACAAACAGTGCTAACGATAACATTATTAAAGACCAGGTAACTTTAAACAAGCGTTTAACCTCGTAACTTCGAGAGAAGCTCGCCAGAACGTTAACCAGAGTTCCGAGGAGAAGTTAGCCGGGTGTTATAACTCTACACAGGCTCGTGAGTTATCAGTTATGTATTCAGCACGGGATGTGTAGAAAACAAGCTCAATCTGGCAATGCTTTGCGTATTTCTGTGAGTTTGAAGAGCAAATGTCTCCCTCTCGCGGTCATACAGTGTGAAAAAAACTATAGAAACCTTCACAGAAATTCTAATGGTTTTCACTACAAATACCACTACAAACATCACAAACCATCAACTTTTAACCATTAAAACCATTGAAAATGGTCTTCTGTAGTGTGTTTACTGTTTTGGGACATATTCCATTCGAATTTAGTGATTTTAACAAGCCACCAATAGAAGGCGACCAATTATTTCCTGTAGAAACCCACAGGGTCCATTACAGTTTCCATTAAAACCAGTACAAGTCCCATTATAACCAGTAAATCCATTACACCCTCTGTGGTGGTTTCTATTGTTTTGTTTTCAGCAGGGCTGCATCATCCCTGCATCACTTCAACAGCCAATGACATCCAAGTAGGCTACTCATGACATCTGTCGCTCATCCACTGACACACATCTCTCTCTCTCTCTCTCTCTCAGTTCAATTCAATATGTTCTTAATTGGCATGACAATTGTTACAATGTATTGCCAAAGCATAGTGTTCACATTG